CATCCCTTCTCCAGGGGATCTTCCCGACCCAGGAATTGAACCGGGGTCTCCTGCATTGCAGGTAGATTCTTTACCAACTGAGCTATCAGGGAAGCCTAAATAAAGCTGAAAAATGTTTAGTTAGGAATAACATTTCTGTGGAACTGGCCAGAACAGGCTTGCTTATTGGTAAATTTAGAAAAAAAAAATGTTAATTTCCCATATTGGCGCTTTGAGTTTTTATAGCAGAAGCCAACTGTCAAACAGTTACATTTCCAGTGTTATTGCAGTTTATCCAGTACCCTAGCTGAGAGACTTTTTAGAGGTGGAGAGAGTGCTCTTAATAATTCCCCTGGGGCCCCCGGCATACATGGGGACCATCCTGGATACACTAGGGTGTGTGATCACCCCAGTGAAGTCCCAAAGTCGGGCTTGGAATTTCCAGGCAGAATTCAGGTTTTCTGAGGGTGCTGTTAAACAAAATAACATTCCCTTATGACCTGAATTCGCATAAAGGGTAGGAAGATTTTCTTCTCTTCTCTGGAGAACAAAAGAGAGGTGGGGGAGGGGTGAAGTCAACGTGGAGAATGATGGTGGGAGCAATGCCCCCCTCATTGGTGCTTTATTTTTCACTTTAAATCAATGGTTCATAGCTTTGGTTGAGTCCCGGGGGAGCCTTTCAAAACAACTCAGGCTGGGGCTTACCCCAGACGAAATAAATCATCTCTGGATTTTCTTGAAAAGTCACTACTAATAGTTTAGGAAATGGTTCAAAACTTCAAGGTAAGTAAAGTCAAACAAATGTCTCCAAATCCATTCCAGTGGCCCCTCCCCACAGTAAAGCAACGAACCCAGGTGAATAAGACAGCCAAGAGTCCCCAAAGGTGAAGCCAGGTCCCTTCTTCCTTCTGGGCCCCTCTTCTGCTCCACACCTTCCGAGGTCTGTCTGGATCTGGGGACATAAAAGCTGCCCTTTGGAAGGAACAGGGACTCGGCTGCCCTAGACGAGGCATACAGCTTGGAAGGCCACTTCCTGGGGCTTCTCGGGATGATGTCAAGTCCATGCAGGGTAATTCCCCATCCCCAGTGGTTTTCCGCCCTGACACCCAACTCTGGGGTCATTTTAACCATTTATTATTATATTCTCCACATCTTAGACCAACAGCAAAATCACAATGTGATGAAATGCAGCACAAAATTTCTGTCTTTCTCCACAACACATAATTAAAACTATCTTATTAAAAAGCTATACATATAGTCTCCAGATAAGAATACTGGAGTGGCATTATCAGAGAAATGCAAATCAAAACCTCAGTGAGGTACCATTACACACCAGTCAGAATGGCTGCTATCCAAAAGTCTACAAGCAATAAATGCTGGAGAGGGTGTGGAGAAAAGGGAACCCTCTTACACTGTTGGTGGGAATGCAAATTAGTACAGCCACTATGGAAAACAGTGTGGAGATTTCTTAAAAAGCTGGAAATAGAACTGCCATATGACCCAGCAATCCCACTTCTGGGCATACACACCGAGGAAACCAGATCTGAAAGAGACACGTGCACCCCAATGTTCATCGCAGCACTGTTTATAATAGCCAGGACATGGAAGCAACCTAGATGCCCATCAGCAGACGAATGGATGAGGAAGCTGTGGTACATATACACCATGGAATATTACTCAGCCATTAAAAAGAATTCATTTGAATCAGTTCTAATGAGATGGATGAAACTGGAGCCCATTATACAGAGCGAAGTAAGCCAGAAAGATAAAGACCATTACAGTATACTAACACATATATATGGAATTTAGAAAGATGGTAACGATAACCCTATATGCAAAACAGAAAAAGAGACACAGATGTATAGAACAGACTTTTGGACTCTGTGGGAGAAGGCGAGGGTGGGATGTTTCAAGAGAACAGCATCGAAACATGTATATTATCTAGGGTGAAACAGATCACCAGCCCAGGTTGGATGCATGAGACAAGTGCTCGGGCCTGGTGCACTGGGAAGACCCAGAGGGATCGGGTGGAGAGGGAGGTGGGAGGGGGGATCGGGATGGGGAACACATGTAAATCCATGGCTAATTCATGTTAATGTATGGCAAAAACCACTACAATATTGTAAAGTAATTAGCCTCCAACTAATAAAAACAAATGGAAAAAAAAAAGAACTGTATCCTCAGAACATGTAGATTCTAACATTCAGTAGGTGCTCAATAAACATTTATTGATTAATGAAAAAAAAAAAAAGAATACTGGAGTGGGTAACCATTCCCTTCTCCAGGGAATCTTTACCACCCAGGGATCAAACCCACATCTCCTGCACTACAGGCAGATTTTTTACTGTTTGAGCCACAATGGAAGCCCATACGTATATATAAGTATATACATATATATGTATGTATGTATATTACCTTCCAAAAGAGAAAAGTAGATCCAGTTCTAGAAACTATTTGGAAAGGAAATCACAAAGCACATCTCTCTGTCCTTATCGTTGCCATGAGGTGGTCACCCCAGCCTTGGATCTGGCACACGAATCCCTAGGGGATGATCCAGATGATCACCACCATGCCCCACAACACTGGTCTTGTCTAAGTTTTCTGATGGAAAGTACAATTGATTCCCTTTGCTCTGTGCAGCCCTGTGAAGTATATTTTATTTTTGATGCACTCTATTGTTCTTAATGAAAAACCTCTCATGAGCCAGAATGTGGAAGTGGCTGAGTTTTATGAACATCATAGTCAAGAATTAGAAACAAACGTAAAATTGGTTATAGCTGTACTAGTCCACATAACAGATTCAAATCTCCAATCTGCATCCTCACCATTTGTAACATTTGTAAATTAGTCTCTGCTCACATTTCTTAGCCCCCCACCCCTCCCGAAAATGGGCTCCTGGGTCCCATTGCAGGACATTCTGGGATCAAGTAAATTTTTCAATATGCTACTTCCCTCTTACACTCTCACTTTATAAAAACTAGGTGAGCCTTTGTAGCTGGGCAATACAGGTTTTCAAGAGGCCACCACCTACTTCAAGAAAGAACTGAAGCCACTGAAAGCGCGCCAACCAGGCTCCCATCACTGACCACAGTGGAGCCAAGAGGAGAAGTGGGGGAGGTGAACCCGTTCAGGGTCTTCTCAAGGAAGCTTTTCACTTTGCCATTTCTTTTGTAAAAAATGAAGTCAGAAGTGCCTTCATTGCCAACTGGGACTCTTTAATTCCTCAACCCCTTAACCCCAAGTCAAGAGCCGGCAACCTCTGAGGCTAAGGAGCAACCAGGATAAGCCCAGAGGGTCCAGGCAGCCAGAGGGGCTCACGTGGGAAGGAGTGGGATGAAGGAGGCAGGCCAACCAGATCAGCGGGAGCGAGGGCACGTCCTGGGTGATCCAACTGCTCTTTTAACCATGCCAGGCCAGCCTTCTCCCAAATGGCAGGTCTGACAGTAAGAGCGGAAGCGGCCACATGGGTGGCTCATCACCACACGTGACCAGTCCTGGAAGTCAGGACACAGAGACACCTAGAGCAATATCACCTCCCACGGCACTGTTTTCTAGAGAGAACAAGAGGGTTCTACTTCCAGCTGGGGGAGAGGACTGGCTGGCATGGCTTTCTATTTTGAATCTTGGCAGCTGGATTCGTAAACAGGAAAAAGCTGGAATTCTGACTTGGGGATGGGGTGGGGCTGGAAATGGTTCAGATTCACATCCTTGCTGGAACTGGGCAGACATTAACTCGAGGGTAAAGGCCAACTCGGGAAGAGCAGCAGGTAGTTCCAGACCCATCTCCCCCACCCCACCACTGACCCCAGTACAGGTTTTAACAGGAAGCTGACCTTTTAGAGCTCCCGACCTAGCCTTCCAGCATCACACATCACCAGTATCACACATGGTGACAGGCACAAACTGCATCCTCAGGTCCTTCTTGAAAGGATACTCCTGTCCTGAGGAAGCTGCACACACTTTGACTCCAAATCAGAGCCTGGCTGGCAGATCAAGGAGCCCAACTCAGTTTATACTCACCCAAAATGATGCTAAATGGAGCAACCCACGGAGCCGAAATTAATTCGTGATAGTAAGTTCTGGCATGTTTACTCTAAACTAGCCTTTAAAAAGTGTTCTCTCTTACTCCAGGGCCCTGAGAAGACAGTCTTAAACCTGTTTTAAAACTGAAATATACCCAGTATCTCAAGAGTTATTTTTTTAGACCAGTTCTTTAAGATATGTAAAGGAGACCCTGATAATGCAGTGAATCATCAGAAATAAAATCTGTGATCCAGTATCACACACCTTTTCAGCAGTGCTCCTTAGTCATGACTTTACCTTTGATGCCCAATAACTTCATATACAAAGGTCTTCATTTATAAAAGTAGATGGAACATCTCTCTTAAAGACACTACACCAGCAATGCCCTCAGGGTTCTCAAACATCTATGAGAAATAAGAAATCTAGATACATGTATAACGTTTACAGGATGCTAACTATATGGCTGCATAGAAGCATCCAGATAGTGGTAGCAAGCTGACTCAGCCAGGGGATTAGCTGAAGAAATGTCCCATAGCTTACTGTCTTACAGCTGAGGTTTAAACCACTATCAACCATAAAAAACAAATGTGAGCATGAATAAACACATCCACAGGATGAAGTCAGTGTGTTTGATAAATTAGCAAGTCTACTTTCCTCTGGAGAATGTCAACATTTGCTGTCAGGCTATACCAACAATCCCTGGGTAAATGTTTTTTTTTTATTCCTCCAGGTTATTAGGTTCTTGGAAAACTACTTGCCTATGGGTGTTAATAAGTTGCTAGCTTTGTTAGCAACAAAAGGTCCCTTACTCATTTAACTCACACCTAATGTGTGACACAGGGTACTGGATGAAAAGTCAGATTTTTATACCAACTGCCTTTTTAAGCAATTAGTAAGAGCAACACAAAGGGCATTTTATGCATAACAAAACTCTCAGTTCTACCCAACATGTGTAAGTAACTCAGCAAATGAAGAGGCATGCTGGAGGCAAGCGATACCTTGGAGACGGACAGTTCCTTCGATTTAGACTCAAACAGGTGCTCCAGCTTGGAGGTGTCCACCTTAATGGGTTCCAGTTTCGACCACAGGAATTCTCTGCAGCGGCCATTGTTCTTACACGGCCACTCAAAAGGCCGGACTTCATTCCAGAACAGACGGATGGTCTTCTTTTTCTTGGTGAATGCTGGCTGACCCCTGGGTACCTGGGGCCACCCTAAGCCCTGAGGAGCGTTGAATACTGGAGGGGGAGCCAATAAATTACCGGGGACTGGAGGGGGAGGCACTGGGGGCGGGGGAGGCGGCCCTGGGGCCTCTCGGTGACCCAAGTCCACGTCCAGGACGTCAATGTCGTCCTCCTCGCCCAGGTCAGTGAAATCCATGTCCTGGATTCTGAGCTCTCTGGGATTGGCCATGAGCTGGTCCCAGATGTAGTCGGACTCCGTCTTGGGCTGAGCCGAGGCCTTCTCTGCGACCTTGTCATTGGGCTCCGTGTCAGGGGAGATGGATCCCCTCCCTAGGTCCCCGCTGTTGAATTTCTCAGCGAAGGCTTTCACACTGCCCCGGTTGTCCAGACAGCCAACGTCCACCCTCTTGACACTCTCATCCTGGGCCAGGGAACTGGCCTGCAGGGTGGATATCCGGCTGGCCAGGCTGGCTACCGCCTCCGCCCCCTGCGCGGTCCTCGCGGCCTCACCCTCCCCCTTCTCCTCGTCATCCGCGGGTTTTCTGTTATGGGCATACAGCATGTCCAGCATGAACCGTTTGTTGGTGAGGATGTCGCCACACTGCTCATTTACACCGGCATCCTGAACACCCGCGGACCACAAACCTGAAAGTACACAGGAGAAAAAAATGAGGACATCACAGCGGTCTCGATGCCATGAGAGAACCAAGCAGGCAACACGTGGGCATTTCACACAGGAGGAATCAGGAAGACCCAGAAATAAAGCAACAGAAGAGGAAGGAGGTCGTGGTTGACAAGATGCTCTTGATCAGAAAGAGATGCTCTGTCAAAGCGCCAATGGCTCACTCTAGGGACCCAATACTCTCGTAGGTGTGACATGGCTTGTGGCTCTGGCCTAGGCTCATGGGAAAAAATTTCCTCGCCTTTTCTGCTCACCCATGGTAACTGGTCAGGACCCACTCAGGGCAACTGCCCTAACTACAAACGGAGGCAAGGAAATGCCCCCTCACCCACGGCAGGTACTGGAAAGGCTGTAGAATCACTCCTTTTTCCCCATACTCCACCTCCGCACCAGTGAAGCCAAACTGTCTTTAGAAATGCATAGACCATACCACTGGTCATACGGCCAGCAGTCTTCAGCAGACCCTTAATGCTGCCTGGCAGCCCCATCCATGACCTCTCCTAGATGGTTTTCCAGACATCTCCTCTTTCCTCTAAGCTTCCACATTCAACTCATCCTCTGCAAGCCTCGCCTTGCTTTCTGTTTCAAACACTTAATAGACAAAGTCGGAGCTCTTCCAGGGCCTCCATTCTGCCTCCACTCACCCACCTGCACCTGAACGCTGACCACGTCTGTCCTGTGACTACTGATCACCTGTCCTCTTGGTGGGACTCATCCGCTCCAGTGATTCTCCATCCTGCGTCTCCCATGCTCCTCCCACTAGGTCTTCCTACTGGTATATACACACAGTATAATTTTACCCATTAAATGAAAACAAAAAATCTCACTTGATTCTACTTATCCCTCCAGCTATAATCCAAATTTTCTCCTTTCTTTTAAAGTAAAGCTGGGGTGGGGAGGGAGAGTTAGGAAGTTTGGGAAGGTCATACACACACTGCTATATTCAAAATGGATAACCAACAAGGACCTATTGTAGAGCACATGGAACTCTACTCAAACTTATGTGCTAGCCTGGATGGGAGGGGAGTTTGGGGGAGAATGGATACATTTACGTGTATGGTTGAGTCCCTTTGAGGTTCACCTGAAACTACCATAATGTTAATTGGCTATACCCCAATATAAAATAAAAAGTTTAAAAAAACAAACAAAAAATAAAGAGTTGTTTTGCTGTTTCCAGTTTCTCTCTTTATTCTCTCTTGAACCCAGTTTAATGAAGTTTTTGCTCTGTTTCAGAGATGCTCCTTTCTGGGTGACCTATGACCTTCCTGTCTCACTAGATGCAGCGGTCATCCCCTCATCCTTGACTTACATCCTCCACTTGGCCTCCTGGACACTGCACTCACCTGGCTTGCTGCCTTCTCTTTGGCTGCTTCTTCTCAGTCTCCTGTGTTGGTTCCTCCTTATCTTTAACCTTTAAGCGTCTGTGGACCTCTTCTCTCCATACTCCCTTTCCTAGCCTTCATCTCATCCAGTCTCAGGCCTTTAAATGCCATCTTCTGCCCTCAGTCCCATCCACTCACCCAACTTGCTTCTCCTGCAGTCATTTCTGGCTTCAGTTGCAGCCACTTCATCCATCCTTCATCCATCCAATGTAATTGCTGCCAATTCCAAAAGCCTCAGAGTCATCCTTGACTTTTATCCTGTTCTTTCATCCCACACAGCAGAGTCCTGTTAGTTAAATCTTCACGTTGCATCCAGAATCCCATCACTTTTCTCATCACTACTCCTGCCACAACCCCAGTCTGAACCAGCGAGGTTGCTTGCCAACAGGGGATCTCGGCGTCCACACTTGTCCCTCTACAGTGAGATCTCAACCCCAGAGCCACGTGACATGTTGCAATATCCAACTTATCTTTCTGCTCTAAGTCTTCCAACGGCGCCATGTTCCACCGAGACAAAAAGCCAGTGACCTGTCAGTGTCCACAATCCATGTGTGATCTTTCTCTTTTTTCTCCCTCTCCTACCACCAACTCCACCACTGCCGCTGCCCCAGATGCACACGCACGAACCTCTTCAGCAATAGCACTGACCTGACATTCCTAGAACTCACCAGACGTGACGTGATCCAGCCTCAGGACCTTTGCCTCTGCTGGGGCAAACCCAGTTAATCACACAATTTGCTTCTCAACTTCCTTCGGTTTTAGCTCAAATAGTGAAATCTTCCCAGTGAAATCTTCCCCGACCACCTTATTTAAAATTGTGGACAACTCCCTCTCACCCACAGCTGATGATCTTTTCCTGCTTTTTTTTCTACCCAAGCATGTTTTACTGTCTGATCTTCCACACACTTTTCTCTTTGAGTTTATTGCTGCCTTTGTCCCATTATTGGAACGATTATAATTATTAAATTGTGTTCTTCCTTGGAACATAAACTCTACAAGAGCAGGGGTTTGGGTCTGTTTTGTTCCCTGTTGTATCCCCAGCATCTAGGATGAGTGGATGAATGGATAATGGTCAGGGACGTCATTCCTCTGAGTTTGTTTCCTGAGGTCCAGCAGGGCTGTGTAGTGGGCATTTCAGGCTATGAGTTCCATCAGATATCCAAGGGCCTCTGTGGCTGCTCATCTGGGGAGGGGGCAGGAGACCTAGGCCGAGGATGTGAGCAGCATGAGCTTTTTCTCTTCCAAAGAGCTGGATCAAACAGGCCGGGGGAGGACACTGGTTTCTGTGGCTGTGCCTTCACCTTTGAGGAGGCATTTACTGGGGAAGCCCAAAGGCCCCTAAGTGCTCTGATTTTTCCACTGTAGTTTTGTCCTCTATGCTCTGCTCAACAGTGGCCTAAGCTCACCAAGCTCCCAACATCAGAACAAGGAGGTCTTGGGTCCTCTTGGAGATTGGCTTCACAAACAAAATACATTTTGACGATAACCACCATCAAAGAGACAGGAGGTGACATTTGAGGACATGATGGAAAAATCACTACAGCTGCTCAAACAGTCCCGTAAATAGGGAGACTGCTTTGAAGCCAGGAAGTTGTGGCAGATAAAGTGACTGAGTCTCTCTCAACAGACCGCCTCACTCTCTCCATTGATTGGGAAATGTTGGCAATTTCTATTTTTGGCAACAGGGCAAAGAGCATAATCAGGTAACATCTTAAATGCCGGCTTTCAAGTTTCCTTTCTTCATTCATGTCTTTTATAAAATCATTACGTAGGGTACTTCTTTCTCCCTAGCAATTTCCTTTTTTCTGAAGTGTACTTCATCTGATATTAATACAGCCATTAATATGGCTTTTCTTTGATTAATGTTGGCATGACATCTTTTCCCAGCTTTTAGCTTTCCATCTGCCCATGTCATTACATTTGATATGAGTGTTGTATATGATAGCACGTAGTTGACTGGTGTTTTTATCCACTCTTCAAATCTCTGTCTCTCACTAGATATGTTAGGACTTAAGTGTGCTGTTTTATTTGTTTTGTTTGATCCTTGTTTCAGCGTCTGTTCCTCCTTTCTTGGTCTTAGGTGGATTGCTTGAACATTTTTTAGAATTTCACTGTGACTTATTTATTGTGTTTTTGAGTTCATTGCTTCATGTAATTTTCCTAGTAGTTGCTTTAGGTATTACAGTATACACACTCACTTCTTCAGTCTATTGGTATTGGGCTTCCCTGGTGTCTCAGTGGTAAAGAATTCACCTGTTAATGCAGGAGATGCAGTTTTGAGCCCTGGAGATCCCCTGGAGAAGGAAACGACAACCCACTCCAATATTCTTGCCTGGCAAGTCCCATGGACAGAGGAGCCTGTTGGGCCAGACCATGGAGTGGTAAAGAGTTGGACACAACTTAGTGACTAAACAAAAACAAATTGATGTTTTACTACTTTGAAGTGCAGAAACCTTACTTCCAGTTATATCCCTTTACTCGCCCACTTTTAAAAATACAGTTGTCTTAAGTATTTCCTCTACATATGCTGTACTCCATATAGCAAATGCAATTTTGCTTCAACCATCGAATATGATTTAAGAAGCTCGTGAGTAAAAATACAGCATTTTTATTTACCCCTATTTGTTTACCCATTCTGTTGTTCTTTTCTTGCTGGAGTCCCAAGTCATCTTCTATCATCATTTCCTTTTTGTTCAGAGAACTTACTTTAGCCATTCTTCAAGGGGTGGTCACTAATGACAAATGCTCTTGGTTGTTCTTTACTGAGAATGTTTTTATTTCCCCTGCATTGTTAAAGGCCACTTTTACTGTACATGTAATTCATTGTTGACAGTTATGGTCTTTCAGCACTTGACAGATGCTGTCTCCCTTTCTGCAGGCCTTGGTGATCCAGACAAGAAATCCACTATCCTCTGAACTATATATATCCTCTTCTATAGGTATCACATCATTTCTTTCTGTCTTAAAAAATTATTATTTGGCTTTTAGTTATCATAAGTTTGATTATCATTTGTCTTGGTGTCGATTTCTTTGGATTTATCCTTGTTAGGATTTGCTCAGCTTAAATCTGTAGACTTATGCCTTTTGCAAAACTTGGGAAAATCTCAGCCATTATTTCCTCAAACATTTTTCCACACTGCACTCTCTCTCCTCTTCTTAGACTTAGATGAAATGAATGTCAGTTTTACTGACATAGTTCCATAGGTCCCTGAGGCTCCTTTCATTTTTAGTCTATTTTTCCTCTCTTATTCAGATTTGGCAATTTCCACTGATCTGTTTTCAGATACACTGACTATTTCCTTTATTATCTCCAATCAACTATAAAGTATGTCAAATACTTTATTTCAGCTTGTATTTTCCAGTTGTATAATTTTCCCTTCATTCTTTTTTGAAAATTTCTTTGCTAAGACTTTTTTAATTTATTTCCTGAGAGTTTGTAACTGTTCTCTAAAGCATTATTGTGGTGACTGCTTTTAAACTTTTGACAGATCATCCCAGCACCTGTCAAAGGTTTTGAAGCAGTCACCATAATAATGGTATCTCTGGATGGTGTTTTTCCATTCAAGATGTCAGTGCCCTGCTTCTTGACATGATGAGTGATTTTTTATTATATTCTGGATGTGTTGGGTATTATGCGATAGACTTTGGATCATATTTAACCTTCTCTTTTAGCAGATAGTCACCCTTTCAGGGTGTAGCTTATAGGTCTTGGTGCAGGTATATGTTCAGCTCCCTGCTGGGTCCCACTGTCACCAGGAAGAGGGTCACTGACTCACTCCCTCAGTGTAGATGGGATGAAGCCCCTTGACCCCAGCAGCATCTTCCCAGTGGACGTGAAGCACTGACTCCCATTGGCGCACTGTCTCCAAGTGAAGTGAAGGCTCAGTTTTCCATCAGTCCCCACCAATGTCGAGTCCCACCTCCAACCACATCATTCCACCTTGTTTATGCTGGGTGGGGATGGAGGCTTGGCTCCCATCTTGGGGACCTCACTGGCACTGAGGACAAGGAGAGTGGCCATGGGAAGAGAGAGAAGGCTATCAGCCTTTCCGCCAGGTCCTCATTAAGTGTGGTCCTACTGCGGTCCAGGTGAAGGCTCAGATCCCCACAGGACCCCACTGACTCGACCCTGTTGGAAGAATTGAGATCCACTTGCTTCTTCCTGCAGGGGATAGACTATAAACTCCCCATTAGGCCAACAGTATCCCAGCAGGGGAATGTAGTGCAATCTGCTTCAACTGGGCAGGCAACAGAAGACGGGTTCCCTTCTGAGTCCCGTTGACAGTACAGGGTTGAGGGAGGGGAGGGAACTGGAGAACCACCACTCCCGTTTCCATATGGGTGTGTACAGAAGACTACCTCTTCTTCCGTCTTCCTGAAACCACTGGATTGGAGGAGAGGTGTGACAGTGGCATAGTTTCCATTAGACCTTGCTTAGGATAGAGCACTTACTAAGAGCAGCACAGATTTTCTGTTCTGTTAGGCATCGCCTTTCCCAATCCTTTGGTTAAGGGAATCAACTTTCCTTGAAGCTTCACTGCTGTGTCGTTCAAGTCAAAAGACTCCTAGGCAGTCTGCCTCCTTCTTTTCACTTTTCAGCATCCTTCTATGATTAGCTGTTCTATTCTATCTAGGGCTTTATTTTAGTTGTAAGAGGGAGGAACTGGGAGTAATGGGGCTTCTCCATCTTAGCCTGGTACTTCTTCATTCATCAGCAGTTTTATGAGCCCCTATTATGTTCTGGGTCCCCAGCTAGGAAGTAAGGACTCACAATGAACAAGACATACAACCCCATCCTCACAGACAAAAGATGATTCTGGAAGTAACTACAACTGTCCAACTCTTTGCAACCTCATGGACTGTAGCCTACCAGGCTCCTCCGTCCATGGGATTTTCCAGGCAAGAGTACTGGAGTGGGTTGCCCTTTTCTTCTCCACATAACAAAGTGTAATCTATGCTACGATAAAGCCTCTCATTCTAATGCCAGGGAGTGCCACACTGAAAACAAATAAAAATAAAACCACACACTTTCAATAAGTTGAATCTCTTTCAAGCTCTACAAGTTCATTCTCAACTAATAGCTACAATCATTAGAAAAAAGATTGGGAATCACTTTGATTGCCTTTGTGATTTAGTTGAGAAGATTCTGAAAAGCAAGAACTATGAGGACAAAGCTTCCTTGATTCCATGGTTGCTGATGGTGACTGTGAGCAGTGGGATATTTTAGGAACCAATAAGCTACAACAAATAAACATGGTCACATCTCTTAACAGCACCAGACTGAAGCAGAAAAGCCACTGCAAAGCTCCAATTCCTGGACACCACCAGCTTTCGGTAGGAAGTCAATGGTTCTTCACTGGGAGTAGAGTCTCCATTTTTGGAAAGTTGTCCTTATTTGGAAGGATATTGGGCAATCTGATCCAAGAAAGTTCTTTGCCCTGGCTTATTTTTACTAACCAACTTGTTGATATGTTTTAGGCTTGCTAAACCTAGTTATGATGAATAATCCTTAAAGCTACTCATAATGCAATAAAACATAATTTAAGGTCAAACTGATCAACAAGACTTACCCAACACTCTGTACTATGACCAAAATTACATTAAATGTGAATAACAGCAAGTAAATCTGACAGTATAACTATAATCTGACTTTGAAAGAAATTTAGTATCAATATATGTAATCCTTTTAGCACCCACATATACAACCAGACACAAGATTTTCAATTCAATGATTCCTAAGACATAAACAAAGTCTTCAAAGCCTTTCCCTTTTCATTGAGACTAGATATATATATAGAATTAAATATAATTATATAATTGTGAAAACTGAAATATTAGACTAAGCCACTGGTTGACAGGTCTCCTAAATGAATTATGGCTTCATTCATTCATTGAATCTTTGTTCACTTGTCCAGGCTTCAGGGAGACTGTATTCTTAATCTGTGAACTAACACATCATGCATGGGTCATGCCACTGATTGGCAGTCCCTTGTGGAGCCTTCCGGGCCTAAGATGTAGGGTCCTTGAATCTGTGTCACTGTGTAATTTAATGAAGGCTGCCCCATAAGACATGTCTCCACAGGTGAGGAATGTCCGTTGAGAGAGGTAGCTTCCTGACACCACACACAAGTCATGAGTTGGAACACCAACTCCATGGTGTCACTCCTGAATCATAATTCAAATGATGGAGGTGGGAGGGGACATATGTATACCTATGGCTGATTCACATTGTTGTATGGTAGAAACCATCATAACATTGTAAAGCAATTCTCCTCGAGTTAAAAATTTGAAAAATAATTCAAATGATGATTTGAATCACTTAAAATTTCTAGAACCCTTTGTGGCACCCTCCCCGAGTCCCTAATGAGAACTAACATTCCATTTGGTCCCTAAACATAAAGTCACCATCAAACAGGTGAAACTGAATGACTATCCTCCATAACACCAAAAAGGTATGATTCTATAAGAAAAAGCACATACTTATTACAGAAGAAAACAGTGGTCCTGAGGAGACTGTAGAAAATTACCTAAATTACGTACATTCCGGCCAAGCCCATCAAACTGACCTCAGCACGCTATGAACTGGCCCTTTTTAAAAGTACTCATACAATTCATTTTTACCAAAGTTGCTCTGGTCTGAAGTGCTTAGTCACAATAGTTCAACATACTTCACTGCAAAATTAACTCTTTCAAGGGAGCAGATAACAACAGGACATGTCTCTAAATTTAAACCAGAAGACAGCCACACTTACTGTTCACAATTTAACAGTTAGAAGGAAGCTGAGGAATTTCTCTGCTGGGGCTCATTCCTCAGGAGAAGTCCCTGATGGCCCTTTGCCAGCTGTAAAGGGTTGCTGCAGCTGCATGTCAGAGGGAGGGAGCCCATCTAGGGGGCAGGAAGCTGCTGGCTGACTAAGTGCGGACATGCACCCTCCTCCAGACACGGGACACCGTCTGGGGAGCGAGCTGGGCCAGCAGGTCAACTCAGAGACCAGTGAGCTAGGTGCCCTGTGCCATGCCCTGGGCGGGGTCTTCCTTACCCGTGCCCTTGTCCCGGGAGAGCTTGTCCTCCTTGTCCTCCCTCTCCAACGTGCTGCTGGAGGACGAGACGCTGGAGGCCGAGCAGTTGTCACGCTCGTTCACTGCCTCATTCTGCCGCTCCTTCTCGCTCAGGGAGGCTCGCTCCTCGTGCTCTGGCTCCAGGGCCCGCTCCACCTCGCTCTCTGCTCCCGCGCTGGCAGGGGCTAGCTCCTGGCTGGCCTCATCGGCCACCTGCCCCACCTCTGCCTCCACGTCTGCCTCCGGTTCAGGCCCAGGCTCCCCGGCACTGGCTGGGGGAGACAACGGCGGAGATCACAGTGAGAAAGGGAACATCTAGGCAACGTCGAGCGAAAGGGAGACCAGATGTGAGGCTCATCTCTTGGGGCCGTCTGCGGCAGGCAGAATTCAAAAGTGGCCCTGAGACTCCCATCGCCTGGTCATTCAATCAAACACTGCAGGGAAGGAGATGGAGGCTGGCATTCATGTCTCAAGTCACTCGACCTTACAGTATAGAGATCGCTCAGGTGGGCCTGATCCAACCTGGTGAGCCTTTTAGAAACAGAGTGTTTTCTCATTAGCACCAGAAAAGGATGGCAGAGAGATCAGAAGCACATGAAGTATTTGTCCCACCCGTGCTGGCTTTAAAGATGGAAAGGCCCATGTGACAAGGAATGTGCTGGCCTCTAGAAGCTGAGAATGATTTCTGGCCAATAGCCAACAAGGAACAGGGACTTCAGTCCTGCAAGCACAAGGAACTGAATTCTGCCAACAACTGAAAGGCCCTGGAAGTGGACTCTCCCCGGGGCCTCCCAATAAGAGCCCCACCAGCCACAGCCTTAACCATAACCTTGAGATACCCCTGGCCAAGAACCCAGTTAGCCAGGCTGGGTTTCTGACCCATGGGAACCATGAGATAATAAACAAGTGCTGTTTTGAATAGCTATGTTTGTGGTAATTTGTTACACAGCAATAGCAGACTGATACATGATCCTTTTGCTTCTTCAGGGAAGTGAAGTGAAGTTAAGCGAAGTTGCTCAGTCATGTCCAAGTCTTTGCGACCCCACGGGCTGTAGCCTACCAGGATCCTCAGTCCATTGGATTTTCCAGGCAAGAATACTGGAGTGGGTTGCTATTTCCTTCTCCAAGGGATCTTCCCAACCCAGGGATCAAACCCGGGTCTCCTGCTTGGTAGGCAGACGCTTTACCATCTGAGCTACCAGGGAAGCTCTTCAAGGAAAGAGGAAATAAGTTCATGGTGAATCAAGCTGATTAGCAAAAAGCAGTCTGATTTTAAGTTATCAGTTGATATAAAATACATCTAGTTGACATAAATAAATACTCATTGGATAACTTTACTTTTTTTTTTGGCTGAGCTGTGTGGCATGTGAGGTCTTAGTTCCCTGATTAGGGATAGAACCCACGCCCCTGCAGTGGAAGCATTCAGTCTTAACTACTGGACCGCCAAGAGAGTCCCAGTCAGACCTTTCATCAGTGACTAAACCAGTTAGGTCTGTCACCCTTTGCTTGAATTATGTCTGCTCATAATGTGGTGTTTGCTTCCCTGGCTCAAACAGGAAAGAATCTGGCTGAAATGCAGGAATGTGGGTTTGATTCCTGGTTCAGGAAGATCCCCTGGATAAGGGAATGGCTACTCACTGTAGTATTCTCACCTGGAGAATTCCATGGACAGAGGAGTCTGGTGGGCTGCAGTCCATGGGCTTACAAAGAGTTGGACAAGACTGAGCAACTAACACTTTCACTTTTTCACTTTCAATGTGACGTTAGCCCATACACTTGAAAGCTATCTATAAGAATCACCCATAGGCAAAGAACTCTTTGTAAACCTGTCAAAGCTGGAGATTTGTGGCTCAGGTTCCATGGACGTCACCCCCTAGAAGCCGGGAAATGACACAGCCTGCAATATGCATGTTTTACTGAGGAACCCTCTCAGCTGTGAGCTGTGGATGGACAGCAAAATGATTGGGAATAAAAAAAAAAAGTCTTCCATGAAGGCCAGGTGAGGAGGCGTCACTCCTGAGGGCTGGGCGGAGTCACGTGGCTGGAATCCTGGCAGTACCACCAACACATGTTCTAAGTCTACACACATATTGCTCGAAGCAATGCAGAGATTCAGGCAGGATCTGTGCATGGCAGAAGTGTGAGAGGCCTGCCCAGACACCTGAGAACAGGCAGATGATGGGGGATGGGGGCTCTCTCTTTGTGGAGACAACCTGCCAGCTCAGGTGAGCGGGGATGGCTGGAACGAGGTGCTCAGCACAGCCCCCCAGCAGCCCAGGCAGAGGCATTACTATGCAAGAGCAAAGCTCAGGCCTCGCTGGGCAGGGGGTCCAGCTGCCCTTCAGCATCCCAGCAAGAAGTCATTCTGCCAGGCCTCACTGGGTCCAGAACCCCCACCCCTCATCTGCTCTCAGGCTGTATTCCCCGGAGAATGAGTCTGGGAACTGGAGAGGGAAGCAGTAGACAGATGAGATGCCAGCCTCTCCTTACATGCTGGGTAACTTCCAGCCACCCCAGGGAAGTGATCTTCTTCCCAAAACTGCCCCAGGGCCCTTTAGGTGGGAACTGGATGTACACCACGAAGGGACTTCTGCCCACCACCCCCTCCCCGGGCTTGATGACACATGGCAAGTCCTGCTGGGGACTCCAGCCTAGGACAGGCACCAGCTTCCTGGGGAGAATGGAGGAGATGAGGGTGAGGTAGCATAGGTCCTCTGCAGTCTGTTGGGTGTCCCTCCAGGGTGTCCCCAAGAGGGCTGGTTTTGGAAGCCCCATCGGGTCATGTGAGAGCAGTTTCCAGCCTGAGACGCATCGGCTGGCAGCAGCAGGAAGACAGTAAAGGGCACACAACTATGAACCCATGTGCCCAAGAATCGGGACATCGAGTATTTTTCCTTAAAAGCAAAAACTGAGCTGGGCACAGGGAGAGAGTGAACAGACCTTTGAGAAAAATTTCTTTCGGTGTTGAAGGACTCTGTACGGTACCTGCCTTTTCATCTGATTAAATAGAGTACTGAGCAAAGAGATACCCAACTCCCCTCATTTTACCAGCACAGCAAAAGCATAGTTTTAGCAACAGCAGTCCCATCGTTGGGTTGACAGAGAGCATATGTTCTTACACACATTTACTTCAGAATAGCCACATCAAAATGAAAATGTGTTTCCAACAGCCTAGCATGTGGCGTGCTTAAGTTTTAATTGGTGAGCATATGGCGAAAACTGGCGAGGGTGCCTCCGTGGGGCTCTATTACTGACGGGGAGACGGCTGCAGTTGGTTGCCATCAGCCTGTGTCTACTCCCCATCCCCAGGAGACTGGCAGACAAAGTGGGAAGGATCCGTCACTTGACAGCTGTTTGGCTCCAGCCTACACACACTGCACTGTCATGCGTCCTTCTATTTGAAGCAGTGACTCTGGCTCCTGATCAGCCAGGGACTTCAGGGACAAGTGAGGCAAGGGACATGCAAGCTCTAGAAAGCAACACACTCTGGGGAATAAACAGTGTAATTTCATCCCGCTCTGTTCAGGACTTACTTCCTGCAGCGGACATTTAAATGTGTGATCTGACTGCTGGGGCACTCTCTTTCATCACTGCTGGGGAGACTGTGGTCTCCAAAATTACATCCTGACCAGAACTCAGGCTCAGTGTCCATAAGGCCTTGCTGCAAATCTGCAGTGTGTGACGCTGTTCTAATGATGAACCAATTAAAGAACATTCACACAAAGTCCAGTCAAGCCAACCCCCAAAGACGGAGAAGGGAGGGGACAGAGAGCACACATCTGGGCTGCTCACTCCTGACCCCTTCTGCACAGAATACACCAGGGGACAGGTGTGTCCAGGACACAACACACACCCTTGCTTTCAGAGGGCTCACCACTGGGCTGGCAACAGGATGTAAAATCCCATCAGCAGGGTCACGGTGGTATGGGGCCAGGCAGCCAGGTGAGGGGCCTGGGAAACAAGAAGTCCCTGGACAAGATGCACAGCCGAGCCCTCCTCAAGGTGCATTAATCAAGCCTAGGAACAGCGAGGCACAAGTAACCTGGGGGCCAAGACTGCCTTCCTTTCACATCCAAGGGCCCCCAGTGTGGTCGTGGGACCAGAACCTGCTCAGAAAGTTCTCATGGACACTTAAGAAACACCCCAAAAACTAGACACTGAATTCCACAACATTTCTGCTCCCCTTCGCTTTCTCTTTGTCTGCATCTTTATCACCAATGGAGAAGGCAATGGCAACCCACTCCAGTAGTCTTGCCTGGAAAAGCCCATGGAGAGAGGAGCCTGGTAGGCTACAGTGCATGGGGTCGCTAAGAGTTGGATACGACTGAACGACTTCACTTTCACTTTTTGGAGAAGGCAATGGCAACCCACTCCAGTAGTCTTGCCTGGAAAAGCCCATGGAGAGAGGAGCCTGGTAGGCTACAGTGCATGGGGTCGCTAAGAGTTGGATACGACTGAACGACTTCACTTTCATGCATTGGAGAAGGAAACGGCAACCTGCTCCAGGGTTCTTGCCTGGAGAATCCCAGTGACAGAGGAGGCTAATGGGCTGCCATCTATGGGGTCGCACAGAGTTGGACACGACTGAAGCGACTTAGCAGCAGCAGCTATCACCAACAGTCCCCTCCACAAACACACAGCTGTTCCTTTGGAGTCACTGCCCCAAGCCACGCCAGCTGCTCCCCCAGCACACTGGGGGGAAGTACCATCCACACTGGCTGAGTCCCCAGGAAACAGGACAACGCAGGCCTGCAGGGAAAGTCCTCAGAGAGCTAAGGCATTTGCCAATACCGAGGGATGAAAATTGCTCACAACGTTTCAGGGACACCCAACAATGGTGTCCGTGGTGAGAAGCACAGGACATATGACACAGACCCAGCACTACAGACCCAGCTCTTGTTGTCACGGAGGTTACAGAGATGCTAAGAGATCCCACACAACACCCGTGACTTCTGTACAGCAAAGTGGGCAAACCCCACCATCAGAGGACACAGGGAAAACCCCAGCCCCTCGGTTCCCACCAGACACAATAGAAAAATATTTATAAATGTGATGGATATTCCAAGAGCAAAGGCATGGTGCCCTGGGAGGGTCCGACAAGGGTTTCTGGCAAAGCCTGGGAAGGGTCCTAAGACCCTGTGCTAAAACGGTATGTAAGCACGGTCTTCAAGGGTGGAAAGGAACTAAAGAGGGACAACTGGGCATGAAAGTTCTGGGCAGAGGGAGAAGCATGTGCAGAGACCAGGGTCACGGGGCAAGCAGGAGGAATGAA